GTATTTTCTGTGAATTTCTAAAGTGTTTTTATCAGTTTGAGAAGGTTTTTTGATATATTTTTTTTTTTGGCGTTGCTGTGGTTCATGTAATTCATGTTTTTGACATTCATTTGCACAGCTTCTCGGGGTCCGTTTTGTACCTGATGCCCAGGTATTTTATTGGTAGATAAATATTCCAAGTAACTCGGTTCTAACTACGAACATTAAAGAAAATTGAAATAAATTAAAATTCATCAAATTAAACTCTGATTTAGGTAGAAATAACATACATTCATATGGAGGCAATGTATAACCTCAATGGTTTGTTTACATTCGTGCCGCATCGCCATCTTGAATTATCAGCTGATTCGAATCGCCTAATTAGGCGATTCGAATCAGCTGATAGATAATTCAAGATGGCGATGCAGCTCGAAATGTAAACAAACATTGCCTCTATGTAAATGTGTGTTATTTCTACCTGTTTCAGAGTTTAATTTGATGAATTTTAATTTATTTCAATTTCCTTTAATGTTCGTAGTTACTTGGAATATTTATGGGTACCTACAGGTAAATTCGCCCCAATCATGAGTTTCAAAATGTTCACTTTGGCCGCTCAGATATAACAGGTAATTTCGCCCCAAACATCCATATTTTATGATGGTCACTTAGAGAAAGGATGATTAGATATAATAAATAAATACACAATTACATAATGTCTTCTGTTTAATCTGGGGATGGAATTTCCTAAACCGGTTTATTGAAGAATTGTCAAATACCAATATTTCTGAAGATTCCCTGTTTCCCCACAACTTTGGGCTGAAAATTCTGGAACACTTACTACTCACAAGAACGACAAATGCTTGTGAGTCCTTCCACCGCAATTTTAATAGTTCTATGTATAGTTCACATCCAAATTTATATGTTTTTATTGAAAAGTTAAAAGAGTTTCAAATAGAAACATATTATTATGTAAAAATACAAAATAAATATCAAACAGTAAAAATTCATGATGTTAAAGTTGAAAACCGGCAAAAATTTATTGAAGAGACAATTAAAACAGTACAGTCTTCGCGAAATCACTAGACTCCATTTAATAAAATGCATTTATTTCCATTGTGCACCTTAAAAGTAAGAAAATTAAATTTTTAACTTAGTTTTAGAAACTGGTAAACTGTAACTTAACGTAGATATTCATTAAATTGCACACCTGTATATGCGAACATTGTAGTTTCATCAATTATTGCCTTCCCTAATACGTCAGGTATTGTGGGGCGAAATTACTGGAATTTATTTTGGTTTACTTTTGAACTAGGGCGAAAATACCTATCTTTTTCGTCCTTTAATTATCATGGGGCGAAAATACCAACACCCATATTTATCTACCAATAAAATACCTGGGCATCAGGTACAAAACGGACCCCAAGAAGCTGTGCAAAGCAACGCCAAAAATAAAAATTTACATCAAAAATCACAACTGATTAAAAACACTTTGAAAATTCACAGAAAATACGAGGAAAATACACAGTCTCTTATGGACGTCAAGTTTGTTATGCCACGGCGCCATCTTGTACGTCAAACGTCAAATCACCCTATGTATTTGTCAAGTTGTTTTTTTCTTTTAATGTGTGGTTAGAATTTGAATAATTTTGATGTTTTGCTGCAAATTTGATATTGAAAAAGTATTAAATTCAAGTGTAGTAGGTACATTAATTGGTCCCAAAGCTTATGTAAATCCAACACTTCTCTCACCGTCGACCATCGTTTGTGCAGAGATCACCGAACCCGACACTACCCAGTGACACAAGGTGATGAACCAAACTTTAAGGCAGTTTAGGCAGAGCAGCTGAAATAACTTGATAATAACAAAACTTTTGTTCTAAAAAAACCGCTTCGTTTTCAAAAAATAAGGTTTTTAATTTTTATACAATGTGTCCAAGATAAGGAGGGCCAGTATGGGGATCTGGGAAACGGTAGGTAACAGATACGACGTCGCTCAAATTAGAAAAAAGTTGCGCAATTTTGTGCATAATGAAATGGCGCTTTGATATTTTGAAAAAAACGAGTGCTACCGGAGATTATTTGAAGAGATATTTCAAAATAAATGTCACTTCATCGTTGCCACTTTTTCTCCTCTACAAGATGCTACCATCAAATTTGAAATCAGACGTTCCGGTTTGGGCCATAAATGCGATACGTCATAGGTTTTGGGTCATCAGAAGCTCTTATGGCCGTTTCCACCAGCTATTTTAGGGGAGTCTTAGCGATAAGTATTCCCTAAAATGACATTTCTACATGGAGAAATGTCAGTTTAAGGAATACTTATCGTTAAGGCTCCCCTAAAATAGTTGGTGGAAACGGCCATTAAAATCTTAAATAGAAATTTAAGCGACGTCGTATCTCTTAGCGTTTCTGAGATTCCCATACTGGCCATCCTTATCTTGTATACATTGTACATATACATGTACATAGGTACAAATATATATCTGTACGTATTATATAAAAAAAATGTTATTTGTAATTTTTGAAGTGTAATAACATGAAATAAAGTACATTTAACTCTTGACTAACTACTTGACTAAAATTTCTCTGTAAAATATGTATTGACTAATCACAGGGTGTTATTTTTACCAGAGGTTGCAAAATGCAACTTCAGGTTTTGTTGATTAATGAATATTCTTCCAACCAGTCTTGAACATCGTTTTCTGTTTTAAAATATCCATATTTCTACTCACGTATCTCGAAAAATTAATTAAACGTAAACAAAACAACCGCAAGAAAAGTGTAATTACAAAGCTAACGTCACATTTCCAGCCAATCACAAGCGGTTATTTATCAGTGGTTCTGTAATGCTTAGTCATTTCCTATACGCGATCTGGCCAGCCTCATTCCAGCTAAAATAAGTTATTCAAGAACCACAAGAACCTCACAGGCATCCCATACGTATGTGGTAAAGTTGGCTACCCCGAGGACCTCTAAATGTAGGGCTTCTTTGGGGTGGCAGAATGCTCACCTCTAGAATTCCCTGCCGCCTACTTCATTTCCTGAAGGATTTGACCTGAACGCGTTCGAAAGGAAGCTTCATCGTAACTTAATTTCTTTCGCTCCAGGTACCGCTTAGATTGTATAGACTTTGTCTTTTTTGAGCGGATAGCGGACCAATATAAAAAAAAAACAGAGCGGTAAACATTAAACCCTGTCTATTGGCTATCAAACGTTTTTTAACCTTTTGGTGGTGATCACAGTCATGATGGTAGGTACTTAGTTCCTGATATATTTTACCAACTAATTATGATAGTACCTACACATTTTATTTGCGCGTTGATGATGTCACAACATTGATGACTATGGTAATTTTTCGCATTTTAGCGACGTTTAACTAACAATTAAACTGTTCAGTTCTAAGACTTCCATTAAAGTTGTGACTACCTTTTCTATAAAACTATAGTTATATATGCTGCCATTTCAACGCGAGCTTGTTATAGGGTTTAACTAACGTTGCGACGACGTAAAAGTAAAACCTATTTAGTTTTTATCGGCGTGATATTCAAGTTTAATGTGAACCCTTTATGTGATGACGTAACATTTAACAACCCACTTGCAAACCTCTGCATTTTTTATGTTGAGAATAATTATTTTTTTTACAATTTTTTAGAGTTTTTATCGTCTGTTATATAATATAAAGAGTGTTAATTTTAGTGGCATGCAGACGCATAAATTAAAAGTTGATGAAAAATTTTCTTGTCTCGACTAGGATTTGAACCCAGGACCCCTACATTTCCAGTGTAATGCTCTACCAACTGAGCCACCGAGACCTGTCTCATTTCTACCCAGTCGATCAAGTCTTTCATCAATTTTTAAGTTGTTAGTTTGTGACCATCGGCAACCTTCGGCGGTTACCGTTGGTATGGGAGAGAGTTAGGAGGTATGGGGAACACATTCGCAATTAATAGGCCTATTCGGGTTTGGAAAAAGGACGGTTCTAGAACGATTCAAAACAATCGTCCAGTTTATTGATCAACAAAATAACAACGACTCGACTATCACAAATTTCAATAATAAACAGTGCGGTTCTTCTGGACCGTTCTAGAACCGTACTTTTTCCAAACCCGAATAGGCCTAATGGTTGTTTGGAATCCATTATCCCTTCAACCAGATGCGTCGTCGACATATAGCGACATCGGCAGGCATCGGAATCGGACGCCTAACCATCAATATCAAGCCAGAGACAGGTCTCGGTGGCAACTTTTGTTGAAATATCATTGGTAAACACGTTCGCTCTTGAAGCTGAGGTGCTATTACAAAGGGAATTTCTCTGTTACCCAATGCTGTTGTTTAATTGACCGCTTTGCATTCGTGAAAGCAACTATTTATACTTTCATAATCTTTTTTGATTCTTTCGAAATCGGAAGGTCTACTTCCCGAATCGTTTTATTTTGAGGTAGGGCATAATTTGCGCGCATTGAACTTTTAGACTTTACAATCTCAATTTTCTAGTTTTCCTTTTAAAGCGAAAAACGTGAAAACATAGAAACCAAATTAGTAGAATCTATTTAGATCTGAAGGAAAACTAGTTTTTCTTTTGCCCTTGATCTAGTATTGAGGTATTTTATTTTCCGTTTTTTTTGTTTGCATGCTTGTGAAAGTTTATTTCCTTGCAAATTACTGTTCTTCAAGTATTCAGTGAAGCTGGTGTTTCTGTGCACTTGGTCAACAATAATAATTAACTGACTTCGACAAACATTAAGTGAAGCTCTTAAGCTGTTTGCGTATGTGTACTTATAACAGTTATAACATCCGTGATCAAAGATGTACAAGAAATAGTGCACAGAAACACTGAACAGGCATTTTATGTGAAATTTGAACTTAAAGTGGCATTAAATAAAAACGTTGCACAGAGAAAATTGTGTTTTATTTGCTGTACCCAAACCTACAAAGTTTGTCAACAGTATTTCTACATACATATTTCCATTTTCCAAATAATTATAAGATTTTTATACTTGAAAACTAGTGATGAAGAAGTGGTTAGGTGAATAAAACAAATAGTGTCAGTGTCAGCATAGGGCTCTTTATTTAGACTTGACATTTATGGATAGAATAGAGATATTACATTTCAGAAACAAATATATAGATAATTTATCTGGATAAATATATAATGACACACATTACACAACAGCCATTTTCCTAACTATAAATATCAATAGATGAAAGTGTGTGTGGTTAAATATTATAGACAAGTAAAAGTTAGTAGAAAACTTTGGGGAGGGTACGAGGTGCCACAGTTGCGTTGACATGCCGATAACGACCTTTTTTTTGCTAATAGAAAATTTAGAAAAATATTTTTCTCTTGAGCTTTAAACATCTCAACGCAACATTTTTTGGTTTCCCGTCCCGGATATGTCTCGAAGTGGTCTTGGCTGTCGCCATTTTTGTTTTTAAATGGCCGCCTAAACTGCATTAAATAATTTTCACCACATATTATTATGCCTAAAAGATATGTTTTATTTTACCACAGATAGTCTATAATGTAAATAGTATATTTTAATGATATGTATTTATGTAAAATAGCTTGATCAGAATAATATTTTTTGTAAATAGATATTGCTTTTGAGTTTTGACGAATCTTTAAATTTGAAATGGTAAGTTTGAATTTATTGAAAAATGATTCCTAAATCTATGCTGATCTATATTTTTTAAGGTACATGTAGAGCAAAAATTTGCACTGGGTAATATTTTTTTGTGATCAAGTATCTTAAAATTACTAATATTACGATTTCAAAAATTTCCTTACAATATAACGATATGACTTATCGAAGCTCACAAGTTTTTTTGTTAAATATTTTTTCACTAACCTAACGTTTGCGCTATGTATTTTGCTCCCGTCTTATTTCCAAAAACTTTTTATCCAACAAAATCTTTGGAAATTTTCTTAAGGTGGCACATATGCTGATATGACTTAGTGTAGTGTTTTTTACCCATATTGATATGTATAGGCCTAATCCAAATATTTTAAGAACATACCTATATCTTTAGTTTGGATGCGATTTTTTTAAACGAATGGTTATTTAACAAATAATATAATAATATAAAAAATAAACTTTTAACTACGCTTACATGTCTAGACATCAAGATATATTATTGAGAACAAGAGATAATATGTTTTTAAAAGACTCTAAAGACTAAACATTTAATATCAAACTTTCATTGAGAGACACAATCACTTGCGATGGAATTATTTAAAAATGCATGCTTACATTAAAAACTTGATATTAAAGAAAAATATTCAAAAACATATTTAAAAAATTAGATACAATAATAGAGTGAAAATTGAAATTTTATTTATATAGATAGCAAATATTAGAGAGTTAATTTTCGAGAGAATATTTATTTATGTTTAATGCATATTTATTATTATATTATTTTTGAATGCAACTTCCTACATTATTAGCATTTTGCTAAATATTTTAAACATGTTTTTAAATATTTCTGAATAAGACTACACATTAAACAGATTTTTCTAAAACGCGAATAAGCATAATTTATTTAGGTATATCTATTAAGCAATTACATGCTCTAGTGCTTGATTTTGCAAAATATTGCAAATTTAAAATAGAAATATGTTTTTTTTCTTTAAATATTTAAATTCTGAACTATATTCTATTACTTCTTTGTAACGTTTTAAATATTCAAACTTTGTGTGATAAATTCTTATTCAAATATGATACTTTTATTTAATTAATATTAAAATATTGAATTACAACTGCCAAAGTTTCTTGATAATTTTTTTTAATTTCGAAGAAATATATGAAACCTATCATATTCGAATACTTTTTACCATCCAAAGTTCTCTTTTGCTATTCAAAAAGTTTCTAAATATCTAATCTTTTACATCAAATATCATATTACATTTTTTTAACTAGACACGAGTAAAACTCTAGCTAAGACAATTAAGCTAAGAACTAGAGGAGCCTTTGATACAGCTAATTGCGTATCGGCGCTACTATAAGCTGAATTTTCGTAAGATTTAATTTTGCATTTCATCTTATCCAGAGGCAAACTTTGTAGACTATACTCCCGGTGTTCGTGCTGCATGGTACAGACGGTTCGCTTTTTTTGCATCATCTCGTCGTCTTTGTCTTTAAGATTGCGTAGCCAATTTTTATACCATTGAAGCTCACAATCGCATAAAAGAGGATTATCTAGACAAAGAAAATCACATTTATTATCCGAAGCAATGGCTTCAAAAAATTATTCCTACCCATTAAATCCACAACTCGCAACGTATCCAAAATCGGTTCCATTACATCTTCAGGGACATGCATTAATTTATTATTCTGCAAATTCAACGTCTCCAAAGAATTGAGATTTTCAAAGATCATCCCACTTAAGGATTTTATGCTGTAAAAGAACGAATATTTTTGTACTTCACGCTTTTCAGGTTTTTGGAACCTTAATAAAAATTGTATTGTTCACGTTCTTTATATCTTATCGTAAAACTATTTATTGATATAAAAGAATAATACAAAGTCTCTAACAAAGTAAGCACGTAATATTTGTGATGTCATAAATCTCATATAAGCTGACAGGAACTTATAGGAGCTTCCGTATAAAATATTGATCTAGGAAAAATCTAGATTTATGCTCATTTTAACACTATCTAAGCACTCACATACTTATGTATCCACATCTTTCATTCAGGTTCTTATTTAAAACAGAGTTTGAAATTAACTTACTCATTTTTTTGCAAATTAAGGAAAGTAATGGAATCTCCGAAACCGGCAAAAGCATCCTCGGCAATAAATGAAATATTGTTAGCTCTCAGATCCAGATGGCGTAGCCGGTGCAGCGGCTTAAGTGCCTCCGTTGGTATGGTATGAATATTATTATCTCCCAGTCTGAGATATTGCAGGTTTTCTGAAATAACAAAAAATTTATATACGACATGCTTTAAGCTAATTCACTTTTCATAAAATATTAAATGGGTGAATGTGTATTTCGCGCTACCTGTAAGTCATTTTCTCGTATTCCTAGTGCTAGAGTGGGACGATAACATAAATATTTTATTATGGCAGTGAAAAGGCAAATTCGCTTTTGGTAGTAGTTGGAAATTCGGTAGGTAGTAAATGCAAGAGTTTCGTGAAATAAACATATCCGCTAAAAAAAGTCTAAAAAGTAAAGCTCTATTTGTTCAAATCACCCTCCGACCCGAGTTTGTAGGAAAAAGTAATATTGAAAACCTGCATCGCTCCATAACAAACATCAATAAAGTCGAAACAATATTTATTCCCGAACATAAATTCAGCTTCTATATTATCCCGAGGAGAAATTTTGAAATTCGTTAAATATTTCCATTTATTTTGAAATCCAAATAGCAGTAAAAGGGTGTCCCCTGAGTCAAGAATAAAACGTATAATGCAAATGGCATGAAAACTAGCTATTTGCATACAAAAATGTACCCTCGTGGCACTAGGATACAAAATGAAATGCTTGCATCATTTTATTGAAAAAACCTACAACAATTGCTCAGTTGCGTAGTAGCCTAAAATAATTGCTCAAGCGGTAGCCGGTAGTCATTGTGAATCAGCTCTTATATCAGACCTCCTTTTTTTCGACGATTCCGTCAATCCTCCGCGTTCATTGGCCTTTATCCTTCGAAATACTGCGAGCCTTGAAGAATACTCCGCCATCGCTCAGACATATTTTCGTGTTTGTCTTGAGGACATCTTTGTATCGTTTAAATTGCTTTTCTTGGCAGCGTTGGGTATTATTCAAATGGGAATACATAATTTGATTAGGAAGATGCGAGGGAAGATGTGAATATGGCTTGCGGACGACATGACAAGTCCAGCGAAGCAGACGTTGAATGAGCATTAAAAGAAATAATACAGTCCTGCAACCACCCTCCATCGGTGGAGCTACAGTGACTCTATTACCCACAGTGGCGATAGTTGCTGTCTTATTTTTGATTGGTTCTAAAATCCCATATATTTATATTGAAAACGCCGCCATCTTGTGCCCACCTATTGCTTATTTCAAATATAAATATATGGGATTTAGGTGAACATCCATCATAAAACATGGAAAACAACGTATTTGATGGACTGTCGATTTCAATTTTTTATGATAGATGTCCATTTAAATCCTATAAAATAATATTTAAAAGTAACAAGAGGTTGAGAACAAAATGGCGGTGGGACCTCTATTGTCGCCACTGTATGTAAAGGTTTATTTAGCCACTGTAGGTGGAGCTGCCTCAGACGCCATCTAGAATGGGAATCGGTTACTTGTACCTGCTGTATGTGCTTGATGCGCCATCTAGGATCAGCTATAAGTAGTTTATACGAACTGAATCAGAATAGCATAAAAACTGTGTAGGCGGCATCTTCTTATGGAATTAAGCATATGCGTTCAACAGCCTAGGAATTCCCAATAACAAATAATTCTAATTCTAATTCCTAGGCTGTTGCACGCATATGCTTAATTTCATAAGAAGATGCCGCCTACACACTTTTTATGCTATCCAAATTGACTTCGTATCAACTATGCCTATACTATCCTGGATGCTGGTGGAGTTGGTTTCCTCAAGAATACTGTACGAGCGAACGAAGATCCTGCCAGTGTATTTCAAGTATGCTTCTTTATCAGCACTGATGACATCTTTGCAAGTACCTCGGGTAATTCAGGGCCCGGATTCCGAACCCACGATTGGATAGTATCGTCTATCGTCAAGCCAAATAAACTCGTGTCTGACGATAGACGATACTATCGAATCGTGGGTTCGGAATCCGGGCCCAGGTTTCACATCCGTAGTTTGGCCACTTACATCGTGGTTGTCAATATTTGCATGTGTCAAAAGATGGAGGTATTCTATATTTTTTAGAGGAGGTTTATTGATAATCTGGATAAACTGGATATGATGTATTAGTGTTTGGTTTTGTTTTGCTTTGCATCAATGGTTGGCAGGATATAAGGTATAGCATGAGGATAGAACGAATGATGCCCTTATGTGCCTGCTTAAAATGTATTTGGAATATTTTGTAGGTCTTTCTTTTTGTTTGCCAGGACATCCTTGTCATCAGCATATAGAAGCTCACAAACCGTTGCGCCCATCGGCAGATTTTCCTACAATTAGATGATCAATTTGGCACAGTGACACATTCTCTCACGTTACGACACTAACGTGTATATTACAAATTTGATAAATTTAGGCGGACAGCTGTGCAATGTTAGTATTTTCTGATTAACACAGTCAAGCGCTTTGACAACGCCTAGACATACCATATACAGGGATTTGTTTTGTACAGGACGAAGCCGGATGGAGAGAATTCTGACAAAAATGTTTTCGACTGTGAAGGGCACAGATATTTCCCGGTGATTTCAACACTGTGCCTTGTCGCCTTGCTTGAATATGGTGACAATATTAGATATTTGTGCTCGACCAGCGCAATTTAAAAAGCTCAGCAGGGACCCTGTTTATCCCAGCAGTTTTATCATTCGTTATTTGGTTGATAGCTGTTACTACCTATTGATGTGAAGGAACGTCACTCAGACGATTTTGAGAGGCTTTCTGAGGAACTTGGTTGAAGATGTTATCATCCACGTGGAAATCTCTATTCAGGTATTCCTTGAAATGCTCCTTTCTTCGGAAATTATTAGAGGCACCAGCTTTGAGTAGCTGTCTGCCATATCTAGATCTTAGGGGGTCTGGGCACCATGTAGAGGAAAAATAGTTTGATTTTGTGACGTCAGAACTTGCCAAATATTCCAATTCCGTTGACTTCGTTGGCCACCACTCGTTTATCAGCATTAATATTCTTCCCTGTAGTTCAACCTTTGCTTGAAGATATGTTTGTTTTTTTTTGTGAGCTGAATTAGAGATGTTCTGCCAAATATTGTAGCCTTTCCTCTCGTGATCTATGAAGCTTTGAATTGAAAAAGCCTATTGGTTCTGGGCAGGCTGTCAGCATAGCTATTTTGAACATGGACCAGTGCTGTTCGATATCGTCAGAATATTTGTTACGATAAATTTATCATTTTCGTAACATGTTCCATTTCTTCTAATTTTTTCATAAAGTTGTATTTTCGCCATTTAAGAATCAGTAAAATAATAATTCATAACTTAAGCAATTTGAAAAGTATCTACTAAATTTAATTAATTCAATAGAATATCAGTATTGCCATCTATCCACAAATAAAATGAGCATAAAAATGCAAATATCTGTTATCAAGGGAAGTACTAACACACCGCCATCTAGTACCTAATAAATTTATTTTTAAATTGTGATAGGTTTTTTTTAAAACTATTTTTATTATTCCTCATCGACCGTCATTGGTATTTTTATTTGAAGAAATTATGTTCATCTTGCTTTCAGCAAATAAGTATATTTCTGTCTTTCTCTAACTTCTGATTCTGAAATGATTATTTTTAACTTGATGACCTAATTAATTAGTGGTTGTGTGTTTCTGACATAACCCTAAATTTAAATCATTATAATTTGTAAACAATTAAAATGATTCTAGTGTGTTTTTATCTATTCCCTTTTAATCAGCGTGGTGTTTCATTAATGAAGTGAACGCGGTCTTTTGTGTGTGTTGAGTGTTGTCTTCTGATTCGTTCAATGCTTACTACGCAGTTAAGTATAAAAAAACACAAGACTGATTTTATACAGGGATTTTGGTTCTTAAAAGGCCTCTTCTTTTGCAGACAGTTGATCAGGCAAGTCGATTTTTTTTCTTCAGATTTCTAGATTTTCCCTTAATATTTTTTCGTTTTATTTCACCATCAGTGTCTACTATAACTGTTGGGATTTTATTACCTGATGAATCTTATCTTACCTACCTTTAAAATATAAATATTATATTATATTTTTTTTTTACCTATTGTGAACCTCCATTTTGTTGCGTGGTACGACATTTTCTGAGGAGAGTCAATTCAGAGTTTTGGCTAATAAATAAATATTGTTGCTTTGGTATTTAGATTTAATTGTTAGTGTGGGATTATTGGACAATTTTCTCTAAATAGAGTGAATGTTAACCGAATTTGTGTGTCCATCCCTATCAACTCTTTACTGAATTCATGTAGAAACCTATGTGGCCAATTATTGTTTGACTCCCTCATTATCGTCCCGAGTAAGGAGAGTGCTGAAAGGGTGAAATTTTAAGCCTTAATTGGTCGCTCTGGCGTAAAAAGTACGCCAAACGAGTTCATACACGTGACATATTGAAACTAGCGATTGGCCGAAGGTGATCGCCTATGTAACCTACCACCATAGTGTCTTGTATACACTGGAAAAGTGGCGATCCGGTTGGTTTCCATTTCGCTTCCCTGCAGGGCGCTGCTTTGAATAATGTACTGATTGGCGTATAAAATACGCCAAAGCGACCGTTTATGATTTTTATTTTTATAATGGTTTATAATACTGTTTTTGCCTAAAATGTAACATTTATGTGGTTGGGATTGAAAATGTAAGTTTTATGTGTTTTGCTATGTCCATTTAGCGAAAGGATTCCAGAAAATGAAGTTTGTTCTATTGTCATTATTTTTTTATTTCTCTTAAATAAAATGCTTTTTTATTTTATTGTTACACATTATATCTAATATTTTATGTGTTAATAAATCAACACTTGAAGTTACTAAGGATTAAACATTACCTTAAAGGTATCAACATTCATCCCGATTATGAAAAGACATTTTTATTTGAGTGGCGTACAAAGTACGCCAAGCGACCAGTTAAGGGTTAAGATAGAAATCTGGATAGGTTAAAATTTAAAAAATTTTATTTAAAACATCTCAAGAATTTTGACAGTTCCTTGGATTTAATTTATTTCACCCTCAGCTTTATCATGTAGTACCAGTACCTTAACGTAAAAAGAAAATTTATCTATTTGGGGAAAATCTAGAAAATTATTTTTTT